CTGGAGGGGACTTGAATCCTGCTCTAATCGTGGGGTACCAGGGGGTCCCTAAAGGAAGCGGCTCTGCAGACGGGTGCAGGTCTGAGGCCCCGCCGGCCCCGCTCCGGCGCTGCTCCCACCGCCGCGGCAACGGCCCCAGCCCACGGAGGCGGCTGGACTGACCCCCGACGGTTGGACGCACGGACTCTGCTCCGAGAGCAGGTGAGCGAGAAGTGCCGGGGCGCCCCCTATTTCAGCGCATCCCGGGGGCCACCTGGCCGCCCTGTCTCTCCCGCCCGGTAATGCTTCTGCACCCCGCCGCCTGTCCGTCTGCATTCCTGCCTCAATTTCCCTCTGTCTCTCTGTCCCTCTTGCTGTATAGGTTAGGGAGAGACAGGTTGAGTCTCAATTGCCCCCCTTGGCGTGGGGCTCTGCTTGGGACCAGCACCCCCACCCCTCCGTGGAATCTAGTGGACTCTGCCCCCTTTAACTGCAGGGCCACAGGTGCTCAGGCCAGATTCCAGAACCCCGAGGGCATTCCAGGAGGTGGGCAGCTGGGCCAGCCATGCGGAGGTGGGCATGACTGTAGCTTCTGGCTAAACCAGGCATCGGTGGCGGGGAGCCAGGCCTAGGCCCGCCCAGGCCCACCCGGACTGGCCCCTAACGAACTCCCAAGTGGCCTGTGGGGCCGTGGCCTCAGTTTTGCCAGCTGTGAACTGGGACCGTCGCTGCCAAGGTAATTGGCAGGTGATCTGAAGGACGTCTGTCGCCTCCTGGCCTTTTCTGTGAAGTCGAACTAGGTCCATTTCCTGGGATGGTAAACTAAGGCCTAGAAAGAGGCCAATGCTTCCAATGTTTGGCCAGGGAGGTGGGGACACAGGAAGGACAGAATCTGTTTTCTCTGCATCCTCACATTTTCCAGCACCTTCTCTGTGGTGGGGGGAAGGGCTGGGGGAGGAGCAGCTCTAGGTGTAAACAGGCTACCAGAGGTTCTTTCCTGAGCCAGTCCCAGCTCAGCTGGGGGCGGTGAACGCCTCAGGAGGTCCCAGCGGGGTCAGCCCAGTCGTGGCGGAGCTTGGGCAAATCTAGGTTTGAACTCTGCCACCCGCATGGTACCTTGAACCAGTTTTTCAATTCTGCTGAGCCTGTTTCTTCATCTGTAAAACAGGAGTGGGTCGTAACTCCCCGAATTACGACTGCTGGGGGATCAGGTGCAGGAATACAGACCCTGCTTGTAACGCCCCTGACCCTCGCTGTGGCTTTGCCCTAGTCGCACTGGCCTCCTCCTGTTCCTCCAGCACCCCAGGCAAGGTCCTGCCTCAGGGCCTTTGCATGGGCTATGCCCTCTGCCACCACGGCAGGTCCGAGGGCGCCAACTTTGAAACATAACAAGCTCCCTGTATGGGCCGGGCCCAGGACCTGCATAGGCAAGGGCTGGGAGGGGCAGAGGAGGGGCCGTTCAGGGACGCTGTACCTATGGAAACGGTGAACAAAGGGCTGTCTCCAGCCACACAAACACCTGGGTGAATTGGGAACTGGCCAGAGGCTGGAGCAGCCTGGGACACAGGTGGCGGGTGAGTGCTTAGACCCTTGGGGGGACTATGGGCTGGAGGGGACTTGAATCCTGCTCTAATCGTGGGGTACCAGGGGGTCCCTAAAGGAAGCGGCTCTGCAGACGGGTGCAGGTCTGAGGCCCTGCCGTGTGCCCCTCCCTCTGTGTGGCCTTGGACCAACTGTCAGGTGCCCCCAGAACCTCAGTTTCCTCATCCCCGTTCCTCCAGGGGTCAGCCCAGGTGGGCGAGGGGTCCTTTGATTGCCTGACAATTCAGTATGGTGGGTTCCGGAGGACTCAGTGTCCCTGTCTGTCCAATGGGGCCACGAAAGGGTGCCTTGAGGACAAAACTCCAGCCATTGATGGGGAAACACTTCTGCCAGAGAGACGTCAGCGCTAAAAAATGACTCACACTTGCCCAGGTACAGCCTCAGGTGTTACAGACGGGGAGGGGCGCGAGGAGGCAGAGCGAGAGGGAGGAACCGCCCGGTTCCACAGCCTGCCTGCCCCTTCCCAGCATCCCTCGACACCCCTCAGCAGACAACTTCCCTGGAATCACACCCGCCCGAGCTTTGACTCAGGGACCTGTGGCAGAGTTCCTGGGATCTTGTAAATTCCCAGCTTCTAGGCCTCAGTTTCCCCATCTGTCCAATGGGGCTGGTCATCTCCTTTTTCTTGTGGAAAGGGGCTGAGATAACTGGGGGGAGGGAGGGTGCTTCGAGGGGTGGGGGAGATTCAGCAAGACATTGTCAAAGGCCCGAGGAGGGGATTACAGGACACAGTGCTTCTAGAAGCTTCCTAAGACTTCCATCCTTCCCCTCTGGGGTGAGCTCTGGGAGAGAGGAGACTTGAACCCCAAATGTGCTGTGGACTAGGATGGGGAAAGGATTGCGCTAGGTTAAAGGCTGGGTTCAAATTCTGATTCTGCCACATCACTGCTTTATAAGCTCCTGACCGTCTCTGACTCAGTTTCCCCATAACCAAAACCTTGCAGGTCCATCTAGAGAATTTCCCAGCCTGGACAACATGGTGAAACCCTGTCTCTACTTAAAACAAAGAAAAAGAAAAAATTAGCCAGGTGTGGTGGCACGGGCCTGTAGTCCCAGCCACTCTGGAGGCTGAGGTGGGAGAATCACCTGAGCCCAGGGAGGTTGAGGCTGCAGTGAGCCGAGATCACACCACTGCGCTCCAGCCTGGGTGACAGGAGTGAGACCCTGTCTTAAACAAAAAGAAGAGAATTGGCTGGGCACCGTGGCTCACGCCTGTAATCCCAGCACTCTGGGAGGCCGAGGCGGGCAGATCACCTGAGGTGAGGAATTCGAGACCAGCCTGGCCAACAGGGCAAAACCCTCTCTCTACTAAAAATACAAAAATGAGCTGGGTGTGGTGGTGGGTGCTTGTAATCCCAGCTACTCAGGAGGCTGAGGCAGGAGAAACGCTTAAACCTGGGAGGCAGAGGTTGCAGTGAGCCAAGATCGCGCCACTGCACTCCAGCCTGGGTTGACAGAGTGTGAGACTCCGTCTCAAAAAATTAAAAAAAAAAAAACACATAAAATAAATAAAATAGACGGGGGATCTGGGAGGGCCTCCTGAGGAGGGGCCATGTAAACCCAGACCTGGGTGACAAGAAAGAAACAGCCATGTAGAGACCTGGGGGAAGAGCAGCTTAGGCAGAGGGCATAGGTTGTGTAAAGGTCCTGGGGCAGGATGCCGCCTGGCATGATGGATGAGCAGCAAGGAGGCCCATGGGGCTGGAGCGGTGAGGAGGAGGAGAGAGGGTAGAGGAGAGGGCAGGGAGGGGACAGGGCATGGTGTGCAGATTCTTATGGTTGCCAGGAACACTTGACTTTGACCCCAAGGGAAGTGGGAGCCATGGAGGGTGGTTGGCAGGGGAAGGATAGAACCTGACTCAGGTACTCACTGGCACCCTTTGGCTGCTACAGGAAGGATAGACCGGGGGCATGGGGATAGATGGTGCCAGGAGACAAGGGGACCAGGCTGTGGGGGAGGTAAGAAGTGGGTTGCGTTAGGCCAGGCAAAATGGTGGCTCATGCCTGTAATCCCAGCACTTTGGGAGGCTGAGGCAGGCTGATCACCTGAGGTCAGGAGTTGGAGACCAGCCTGACTAACATGGTGAAACCTCTTCTCTACTAAAAATACAAAAATTAGCCAGGGATGGTGGTGGGTGCCTGTAGTCCCAGCTACTCAGGAGGCTGAGGCAGAAGAATCGCCTGAACCCAGGAGGCGGAGGTTGCGGTGAGCCGAGATCGCGCTGCTGCACTCCAACCTGGGCAACAGAGCGAGACTCTGTCTCAAAAA